TGGTACTTTTGCGTTTCGCCAGTTCAAATCTCGCCAAGCAGACTTTATTAGCGGCAACACACAGTAAACACATAAAAAATATTAACAAATATTAGTTTTAAGAATTTTTTATTTTGAAGGAATCTGATAATCGTGACAGATTCTTCCTCTGTTCTGAGCAAATTCCAAATTTACATTGGCTTTTCATCCATTTTTGACATATTTGTGAAAACACTTTAACAATTTACTATGTTTTTATGGTACAACATCCTGATTCGCCGTTTCATACTATGTGACCCCAAGTGATCTCATCTCATGTAATCTATGCGACAAAAATCTGATTATCTACTTTAATTTCAAGTTAAATCTTAATATGGAATAAAAGTTTAAACGCAAGAATCATTTCAGTTCATACGAATAGCTTACTCAGAAATATAAAACCGCAGTGATTTACTTCGCTAGCGCATTCTGATTAGAATTGATGAATTTAACCCTTAAATTTTCCTTTTCTATATTTTCCGGTGAGCTGTGTGATTGCATCCTAATTGACTTTATTACTGCGAATGGTCTTAGGGCATAAAATTGAACTACCTGGTAAAATTTCTATGTAATTGTATGCCAGTATTGAGAGCAACAATCAATCTGATAAGAAATGGCTGCCACTTGTTTCGAAAATGAGGTGTAAAAGGTTAGCAGCGAGAATATACCGTTTGGCATCGATTGTACCATTTTTGGCGAATTTATCGCCTGCGCCGGCAAAATGGAAAAGTGCCAAAATTTTTAATTGAGATCTACTACCCTTAGTGTATTTATGTTTATCGTACAATAATATGTTCTATATGCAGTCCATCATGGATAAATAGATATTGCATGCATTCTTGAAATTGCTGACAGCATACCGGTAACACTATTCAGCGATTATATCCCTAATTACTGATGAAGTGTTCTCATCAAGCTCTTTTACAACACGTTGAACGGCGTTAGAATCCTTTCTAATATTCTCCACAGGGAAACGGCCAAAAATAAAATACTTTTGCTTTCCATGCACTATTGCTTTACCTGGATGTTATAAGGATTGCAGTTTTAAGACTTCAATGCAGAATTTTCTTTTGCATTGATCAGACCAAATGATGTATATTAGCGTTCCAAGTAGTAGTAATATTTAAATTAATAAATTTTTTTTGAAGTATTTGGATAGTAGAAATGCTGAAATTTATCATTCTGTTATTATATGAAACCTAAATATGCAATAAATAATTCATCTATAAAAAATTTTAGATAATAAACAATAGAAAAGGATTATTTAATCCATGCAGGGGGATTTGCAATTCAGTCACTTGCCCATGTATTTCAGAAGTTGCAATGGAGTGGAAATAATGCAAATATGGCAATACTATCAAAGTCTTCATTAAAGCAGCATCCTTCATACTTTTATCGAAATTAGCAATTTGATTACTTTTCCTCAATACGAAATGTTCTAACATCTACTATTTAATCTAATATTTACTTTTGAATGTACGGAAGCTCTTCACATTAGAAACGAGTTACGTTCTGAATGATCGTTCGTACCATGAATTGTTGGTAAAATGTTAATGTGTTCCCTACGCTTATCTCCTTCCGATGTTCGTTAGCTAAGAACTATAATACATACTGTCCACTAAAAATTTAACACTGCGAAAAAAATCGGCAATGAATTTTAAATTTTATTATATCTAAAAATTGGGAATCTTTATTTAAATACAGAAGCAGCTGTCTAACGCTTCTGTAAAAGGGCAAAACTACAAAATTTTTTGTTTTAAATATAATATTTTATGCTTTTCATTTTTGGTCAAAACTTAAGATTTTCAAGTATATTTTAATGTATATACATGAAAAAATATACATTTTTTAAAAATATTGAGTGCGCTCGTCCATATATCTATTAATGATTTACAAAATGTAAACATACCTTTATACTTCTTGTGCAATACGCGATTAATTAAAGGTAGAATTAATGAAGAATTTAATTATGGCTTCTTACGTTGAATTTCTAAATTTTAGTGCAATATACAAGGTGTGACCCCCCCCCCCAAAAGTCTGGTCCAATAAATTATTGTACTTACAGAATCAGTTCTCCGGGACATTATCACCTTCAAAGTAGTTCTCTTCAGCATTCACACACTTCTGCATTCGGTGCTGGCATTGCTGGTAACAGTTTTGGAACAATGTTTTTGGAAGGCCCTTCAGGAGATTCTCTGTTTTTGCCAGAACCTCTTCAACTGAGGTAAAATGGGTTGGTTCCCTTCAAGCAAGATTTAATTTTAGGAAATAAGAGAAAGTTGCATGGAGCAAAATCATTTGAATAAGGAGGATGCCCCATCACAATAATGTTTTTACTGGTCAAAAACTGCGTGGCAAATAGAGCGCTGTGTGTGGGTGCATTGTCCTGGTGCAACAGCCATCCATCACTCCGCAACAGCGGCCTTTTTTTTTCCTAATTTTTTCATGAAGTCTTTTTAGTACTTCAATGTAGTATTGTTGATTTAAGTCTGACCACTGGGAAACTATTCAATCATGATGAACGTGCTGGGTATCTTCCACACTGTCTGTTCACCCTGAAAACAGCTTATGTCATTCAAACACACATGCATGAGACAAAGTTTGCATGCATGAGTTTCAAATGTTTCCTCCGTGGCTGATTTCTTATGTTTCAGAAGAAACTTGATGTTGATTCGCTGTTCGGTTTTTACATTAGACATTTTCCAGGCAGAATGCAGTTCCACGTGTTCACTCAATGACGCAGTACTCTCCACCGGAGTGATCCGGTTAAATCGAAACCGGCTGCATGGATCATCAAAACAGTTGTTGCCAACTCGACTCTTTTTTTCAAGTTACACACTTGTCTCTTTTTTTGTGTGTGTCACACCTCGCATTTTCAGTTCTCAAAACGGCAAATAATTTCAAGTACTGGAACTGCAGTCCTTGTCTCATACGTTCACTCGTTGTTATAGGATCCGTATTTTTCCTTTTATTCAAACGGCAATATGCTTTATTTTGAGATTTTTCTGTTTATGCTATTTTGAAACAAAATGAAAAAAAAAAAAAAAAAAAAAAAAAATCTGAAATGTTTCAGATTTTAAATTACGTCCAAAGGGGCGTTTTTTAACATTTTGTGTGTTACCTTTCTTTATTAAATATCATGTTCCTCGCACTTAAACCATAAGATCCAGTGAAACAGCAATATCGCAAAATAGTTTTAAAACGAGCATATCTTTAGAATTTCCGATACAGAGACTCACGCGCTGGAGATAAAAATGTTTTTTTTTCTGCACAACGTTGCCATTCCTCGCTTTGAAATCCTTGAGTTTGTTAATCAAAAATTCGTCAAAGTTTTTAAAAAATAGGAAATCGATCATAAAATCAAATTTCAAATTTGGTCTTCCACATGCTCATATTCGTTGGAGGATTACGTTATTCAAAATTCGATGACTCTATGTACCGTTGTTTTATCACAATACGAGAAATATACATACATTTATGCAGATTTTTCATTATTTAATTTCTTCAAATATAATGCAGGACTCTAACATTTTGTGGCAACAGTTTGAAAAGTGAACCGACATTTATGAGTCCGACGCAAAATGCCAAAACGAAACTAATAAATCCTTCGGGATTCAAATCCCTTTGGACTAAAAAAAAAAAAAATGTTTTCGATTTGAAATTCCTCTGAGTTGAAATTTACTTTACATTAAAATTTTAGTTTAACGAGTTTTTTACCATCCCAAGTAGCGCACGACGTTGCAAACTGGTCCGGGAGGTTGCAAAGTGGTCGTGGTAACTTCTACGACGTCTTCACAACGTTGCGAAGACGCAAAATATATACCCTTGCATCTTGGCAAATTAGACGCCGCCGCTGAAACGTCATGATATGATCAAAGAACTATAGTGAGAAGAAGTCAAGCTTCGACTGCACAGCAACGCCACGGAGAAAAACTGAGTCTAAAATGTGTCTTTTTTGACAACTTTACAGGCGTAAATTCAGGTTCTCTGAAATTCATTCACGCATGCGCGCTAGAGCCAGAGAGTTTGTCAACAACATCGTAGAAGTCGTCATAGCGCGCCATATTGAACGCTAAGCACGAGGATTTCAGCAATTTTGAACATTTGGAAATGGAAAAAAATAATGAATCACGCTCTAGTGATCCTGCGTGTGAAAGGTACGTAAAAATATTTAATTCTTATACCTTTTCATAGTAGAATTATTTTTTAATTACCAGAGTTATGTTCAAATCCATTCCATAACATGGGATGGTAATCAAATATCATGTAATGAACGATTATTAATTAAGTTGGCATTAAAAAAGTTAAAAGTTTCATTGGAACATTTTATTGAAAAATTATAATTCCTACTGTTAAAGAAATCAGAAGTATTTCGAAAAATCTCTATCAAAGCTTCTTACGCAAAATTAGTATATTTGTATATAATTGCGAGGATAAAATCAAGCAATCATGGATGATTTACTATGATTGCTAATGAAAATTATTTCAGTTCTTCATATCCGATCTTTCCTGCAGTTATATGTAATGTATATTGCAACTTCTTCTATTTTCGTTTAACCAGGTATCAATTTTTTAGTTCATGATATTTTCTAATTCTATACATTGAGCATTATTTATAATCAAAGAATCTTTATAATAAACTATTCACAGATATCATTTTTTTGCTACTAAGAACTGCAATATTATCCCAATTTTTAATTATTTTTTAAATTAATTTTTTAATAATTTTTCCAGTTTTAAAAATAAAATTATTAAAGTAAATTAGCTGCATAATTCTGGTGTCATGATATTCATTGGCTCTTTTTTATTTTATTTCAACCTTGCAACTTAAATGTATTCTGTAAATTAATTATTAAATATCCATATTTTATTTTTATATTCAATTTTTATATATTCTGTACTGATGTGATTTAAATCTTTATAATAATAATTCATTTAGGTTAAATGATCCTTCACCAAAGGCTTATGTGCGTTTGTGTGTGGTGTGTAATGCCAATTCTTGGTATTTTCCTGAAAGAAAATTCTTTCGGTTTCCTAAAAATCCAGAGAGGTAAAAATTTAATTTTTATTTTAAGTTATAAGTATTTAAAATGCATGAAAATAAGTACAGTATGACAGATGAAGAAATTTTTTTAACTTTCTGTTATTTAAAAAAATTATTCCTTTTCAAATGAAAACGTTATATTCATTAACATACTTTGTGTGATATTCAATGTTGCCTTATCTGTTTAGCCTAATTATATATACAATAGTAATAAAATATTTATGTAAATATTACAAAATCGTAGAAGCATTAGTTGAATATATGCATCAGCTAAAATGAATTTTTTCATAAGCAGAATGCTTAAAAATTTAACATTAGTTTGAGTAAAATGCATAAATATTAATTTTTTTTGTACATAAATTAGTACTTAAATGTTATCTACATGTCAAATTTCTGGAAAAACTAAAATATGTATTTGTTTTGCACAGTAATAAGTTACATTTTAAATGAATGCTTAAAACTAGTGTTCCCTGTGTAAAGTAGGTGTAAATTTCATGTTGTTTTAACTTTTATAGATCAGCACAATGGCTTGAAGCATGTAGAATTTACTTGATTGGACGTGACAAGGAAATATTAAAGAAGCCACCTTCTCTTTTATATCGAAGTCGTCTTTGTTCCGCACATTTTGAAGACAATGCATATTCCACAACTAAGAAGCATTTTTTGCATTCGAGTGCTAAACCAACAAAATTTGGTGAAACAGGTATGCATTAATTTCAAGTTTATATATTTCAAAAATTTTTAAAAATTTAACCTCTTATATATTGTACTGATCAACAACTTACTATGTTATCTTAGAAAGAGAGTAGTCTGCTGTCTTTAAAAAGAGTGATAAATCTTTTTCTGAAGGATAATTTAGTTTAATCTCCCACAGAAATTTCATTTGTTTACATAAATAATATAACTTATTTATTATGAAAGGACTCTTCTGCTGTTTCTTACATAGTCAATTTTGGTATGAGAGAATGTAAAGTAACCCTTTTTTAAAATCCATTAAATTTTCCTTAGTAAATCCTTTATGGATATAGCAGAATGTTCTTAGAATATGATGTAGCAGAATATATTTACGCAAAGTATAATTTTAGGCTTTGAATCAGATTTACAAACTCAGGATAAATGAAATTAACGATAATTAAAAATAAAATTAAAACTTCGGCTAATCTTTGGAATATGGTAACTGGTAGTTTGGCGACATTTTGGTAAGGCGATAAAGTTTACTAGCTAGGACTTTAGCAGTGTAAATGGATAAAGTCAAGAGTGTACGCAATGCCATTTTTGTGCAATTCTGTGATGTTTTTTTAAGTCAAAATAGATCGACGTATACATGGATGATACCGTGTATGTGCAATTCTTAACGCTGCAAGCAGTGGGCGATTCTGCACTTTCTCCCAATTTCGCACCTAATCTTCGTGATGATTAAGCACTTTTGTTCCATAAAAGTTCTAGCATAAGCGTAATTCGGCTAGCAAATTGTTGGAAAAAAATGTTGAGTAGTTAAAAAAAAAAAAAAAAAAAAAAAAAAATGCCTTTACTTTGTCAAAACAAAATGGCGTCCAAAAAAAAAAAAAAAAAAAAAACAACTAGCAGGGTTGGTCGCCAAAAAATCGCCAAGTTACCATAATCCGAAGATTAACCAAAACTTCTTTTCTTAAAACTAAATGTCAAACCGTGTTAAAGGTTAGTTAATATTTATTTGTTTAGAGATGAAATATTCATAAAATAATTAATTGATAATGATTATATTATGAATTATTATGCATTAGTCTTGTTATATATATATAAATTTTCTTTTTCCTTCCTAGCTGATGAGCTGTCCAGAAACGACAGAGTTGTAAATGTTCATCAGCTGTCTATGAAGTTGTGCTCGAAATTGCAGCAGCATGCAATCAGTATCGATGATAATTCAAGTCCTTTGGCAGAAACAGATTCTGGCACTTCACAAACAGATTCTGGCTCTCTAGAACTTGGTTCACACCAGCACTCCATAGAACTAAATAATATCACCGAGACACCAAAAAGATTAAAATGCAACAAAAATTTAACACCAAAATCTTTAAAAATAAGGCAGTTAAGTCATAAGCTGGCATATTTAAAACGAAAACATTCAGCAAAAAGGAAAGCAAACAAAGCTGGAGTCGAAAAGGCACTCCAGCTGATTAGCTCATTAGTTAGTTCTGTAGTTTTCACTTTTATAAAATCACAAATAAAAGCATCAAATGTGTCAAAATACGGACGAAGATGGTCACTGATGGATAAAAATTTGTGCCTTCAGATCTATCTTAGTAGTCCAAAATCATATAATACACTGAAGGCTTTTTTGCATTTGCCCAGCAAGCCTACATTATTGAAAGCTGTATCTGGTATAAAAATGGAACCTGGATTTTCAGTTGCTGTGCTCAATGCCATAAAATTAGTTGCTAGCAAACTGAAAATCCATGACAGGTATTGCATCTTATCCTTCGATGAAATCACTTTAAAGCAAAGCTTATCTTATGATAAGAAAAGTGATTACATTGTTGGATTTGAAAATTATGGTTCCTACACTGAACTAAAAATGTTTTCCCGAATATGCAACTCATGGTCTTGTTTTTATGGTCCGTGGGCTGTGTAAAAAGTGGAAACAGGTCATTGGCTATTTTTTTTCTTCTCACACTACTCCAGGTTTTATGTTGTGTACTTTGGTCATGGAAGCCCTATCAAAATTATTTGATTGTGGTTTGATACCTGTGGCTGTTGTTTGTGATGGTGGTGCAAACAATGTAGTTTGTTACAAAAAATTTATGAAAGTCACAGAAGAAAGACCATATATTATATGTCAAGACAAAAAGGTATTCACACTTTTTGATGTGCCTCACCTTTTGAAGTGCTTGCGAAATAATTTTAGAAAGTATGATGTTAAATTTCAGGGTGGCAAAATTGCTAGTTGGAACCACATTGTATCTTTGTGGGAATTTGATCGTAAAATGCCTCACAGATGTGTTCCGAAATTAACAGACCGCCATGTAAATGTGGATTGCCTTAGTGCTATGAGTGTAAAATTAGCAGCTCAGGTCTTCAGTCATTCTGTGGCTTCAGGCCTGTGTTACCTTAGTGCACTAAATGGCTTACCCGCATCGGCTAGTCTTACAGCAGATTTCTGTTCAAACATAAATATTTTATTTGACAGTTTGAACAGTAGAACACTTAAGCACTCTAATCCTTTTCTTGCAGGAGTTACCAAGTCATCGATTCACTTAAAAACCTGGAAGGAAAAGATGGATTTCATCAAAGGCATTGAATTTCAAACAGAAAAAAAAAAATATCTTTCCCAAGTATATTTGGCTGGAAATTAACACTATCAGCAGCAGTTCAGCAGTTAATTCCAGTTCTGTTGGAAGATGTACCATTTGTATTAATGTGTCGTTTCACCCAAGATGCCTTGGAAAATTTTTTCTCTGTTGTTAGACGCAGAGGTGGAAATAATGACCATCCAACTGCATATGATTTTCAACAGAGGATGAGAATACTAATGGCACAGAATATTCATAAGCACAAGTAAGCTATCAAACTGTGAACCTGATAACGATACAGTTTTGATACCTACAGAGTTGCTGACAGTTATCGATAACACTGAGCCTGGAAATGGCAGTGATGTAAATGATATGGAAATTGACTTTGATGATCCCTTATTGGTAGCAAATGAAAATTCTGATACTAGTGCTTGTATTGCAAGTACATCATATGATGTATATTTTCACAAAATTCAGCAGCTTATGTTGCTGGATATATTGCTGGAAGGGCATTGAAGCAATTTCCTTGCACTTTATGTAAGAATATTCTTCTTGTTGATAAATCTTTGGGTGAAACACACTTACTTTTTGTATTTTAAAGAATTTGATGTAGTGAAAAATGGATTGTGTTACCCCTCACAACAGTTTACATTTACTGTTTGTGAGATGGGTGAAAAATTTGTAACTTTGTTTGATAAAATATGTAGCCAAAAAGATGTGAAATCCAAAATTATATCCCAACTGAAACTAATTGATCATGAATGGCTTACATGCCATTATCATGCAGTAAAAATGTGGGAATATATTGTCAGTTCATATGCTCAGCTTATGATATATTATAAGCTGAAAAGTATAAATAACAGCTTGAAAAACAGACGTAGAGGAAAGAAAAAAATTATTAAATTACACTAAAAAGTCTTATTTGTATATATTATATGTATTATTTGTAAGAAAAATATATTAATGTAAAGAGTATGTGTGAGAAGTTTTTTTGATTTTGTATTTTTGCTATATTACTATTTGTTGGATTTTAATGTTTTTGTAATGTAATGTAATTTGTTGAATTTTACAAAAGTTCATGTAATTTAATTCTCTCTCTCTCTGTATATATATGAAATTTCTATTTATGTATATATATGAAATTTGGATTTATGTGTGTATCTTCAAATGTAACTTCAGTATCTAAATTGTCTGTAAGTACAGTGAAACCTCAGTTAACGAATATAGTTTGTTCCTAGAGGTCATCTGAAATCTTTGTAAACCAAACCTAATTCTCCTTTAGGAACTTCTGTAAAATATATTATTGATTCATTCCTTCGCCTCAGATGATTGCAGATTTTAAACTTTTGCATTGGTAACATTTGCACCAGTTTACAATTGAAAAACCAGTGCAAATCATTAAATCTAAACTAGAAAGAAACTAGTTCAGTAGTAGAGAAATATACATGTATTAAAAAGAGTTGGTGATATAATTACAAGATAATGAGAAATGAAAAGGGAAGAAATATTGTTATTAATCTTTAAATGAAATAGAAATAAATCTTGCTGATAGAAAAAAAGGGTTACTTTTCCAATACTGAAACTTACAAATATCCTAATAGAAAATTACTTTTGCTTTCATTATTACAAATCGTCTATACATATATTTTCCAGTAACTAATAACAATATACCTTAAAAAAAAAAAAAAAACTGAAATTATTAGAATTAAAAAAAATAATCTTGGGGTCAAGCGTTGCGCAAATCTAGCCGTGCTAGTAGGTTCGTGCTGTGCTCCGTTCAGAACTGTACGGTTTGAAATGTCTGCGTTAATTGAAAATAATCAGTAATAAGGTTTCTGATGCAAAAAACTGTATAAAATCTATAGCTTCGTGAAGTGTATGGGGACAACATTATCACTAAATCATAAGATTTCAAAATGGCCGAACCAATGTTCAACGAAGATCGAAGTACCCAATAAGCCGAACTTCTCGAAAAAGTCGATGCTAAAGTCGTGAAAATCGAAATTTCACAATAAAACTTTCTTTGTTTTCCAAAATCGCGAAGTTTGTTGCACGAAATCATCAGCGAAAAGCTTGTACAAGTTTTTTGCAAGATGATTCCAAAAAATTGACGACCACAAAAATCAGCGAATGGCTGCAGCGTTGAACTTTTTGGATACCATAGGATGGTACTCTTTACTCGAATCGTTATGAAAAAGTGAAACATGTGAACTGTGAAACGAATTGCAATCAATGCATGGGGGCACACAAGTTCTCCCCAAAAACCCAAGAAATGCAATGCAAAAATGTCGGCAAAGATAAGTTTTTTCAGAAAAGGTGTAATTTTTGACTTCCTTTAAGGCACTAAATAAATCAAAGTATTGAAAAAAAACTCAAAAAGCAATTCAAAACAAAGAGGAATGTTGAGTTAAACTTGTTGATTCAAAAGCAAATGTCACTCGTAAAGTTCTTGAATCTTTAAGTGAGTTGTTTCCTCATTACAGTCCCGACCTGACTTCCACCTATTCCCAGCATGAAGAAGTTGGCTTGCGTTTTGATGAACGCACACTGTAACGAAGTGGTTGAAGGCGCACGTTTCGACATTTCCATACATGCTACAAATCATGGTGACATGGTTTCACATGTTTCCACATTCCATGTATCTTCTATGAGGTTTCTTCCTTGTGCTACAAAGTATACACTGCCTGGATCTAAATTTCACTGGTATATGTCCAGTGTTATTTAGTTTCTTTTCATCAGATGACGTTTGTGGTTTTTTATGTTAATGGGGAGGGCTTGGTCTTTTTTGGCTTTGGTACGGATCATTCGTTTCCCATTCATACTTATTTTATTCATATTTCATCCCAAAATATTCAGAAAATATTTTTAATTTAAATAAAACTTTAAGCGATTTCAATTTTTATTATAGCAAAGTATATTTACATTAAATTTAAACCACAGGAAATAATTTATAAAATCACAATACTAGCTTGGGGAGCAAGTGTGTTGAGGTCAGAGAAAACTCTCTGGTAAAAGATCAGTAATAAATCAATTTTCATTCAAAAATTTCGGAAAGAGGAAAAAAAAATTCCAAAATTGGTGGTTTCAGGGCACGACCACCGCGCGTCAAAGGATTTAGGCATTATATAGAAACAGAAAAATCCTTAACTGTCAACTTCTCAAAATCTCTGGTAATAATTTCTTCTAGATTGAATTCATTGTTTCATTAGTTATGTATTACAAGGCTTTGTCCATGAAAATTGAATAATAGAGAATATTAAAACTGCTCATTTTTGTTAGAAGTGACCTCAAAACATGTAGGAAATTCATTTATTGATAGCTTGTATGTTTGTCTTTCGAGACAGTTCTTTTTTTTGGTTAGGAAATTTGTTCATCGTGAAACATATTTGTAACCTGAGGTTCCACTATGCATTGAGCTGTGTTATGCTAATAAATTTTGACAATAACAATGTTTATTTTTTTTTTTTAAATTTACATGTGAAAAAAATTCTGAATGCTGTATTTGCTAACATTGCATCCTGCTCTGTATTTTCTTCTCAAGTTTTTTTTTTCAACGTATTTAGACATGTAATTTATAGCTATATACAAAGTATAGAGAGATAAAAAAGTGCATTATGTAACTTAAAAGAATACAGTAGACGCTGCTTATTGTGGTCATGGTTAATGTTATTAATTGGATATTGTCATCGATGTGGTGAAGTCTCACTCATTTGTATATGAAAACTTGGAAAATACTTTGTTTATCGTGATCAACAATTCAGTTAATATTGTTTATTGTGATCAACAATTTAGTTAATATGTCCAGATTCATACAGAATGGATTTTTAAAATTTAACATTGCCAAATTAGATTAAAATAGATTTTAAAAAATTGTCAGGTGACACGGAAATGTTGCGAAGTGTGAGATTAGGTTTCCAAACACCTTGATTTCAACTTTAGTCAATTTATTTAAAATCAGGTTTAAAAAAACAACAACTTTAGTTTGACGTATCCTATGAGGAACTCTATTGATTTTAAGAACAATCACACATAAGTCCTTTCTTTTTCAGAAGCCACTCCCCCCCCCCCAAAAAAAAAAATCCTGAAAACACTGATGGCAAATAATGGTTGCATTTTTGCTTAATTTTACACTGGCAGTCTTCAAACAAAAGATGCATTTTTAATTTTAAGATTACGTGTACAGAAGCAGTAAAATAATATCCAGGAACATTATGAGCAGTTCACAAACACATTTTTGCATTTTCTAATTAAAATGCTGTGAAAATACTTGTGTTCTTGATATTTTTTAATTAAATTAGTTAAATTCCATTTTCATTCTGAAGTGCTTTTTTTAAAATTAATG